GTTGAAAAGTCGCAAGAGCAGAACACAGTCCAAAAGGAAGCACCTTGAATACGAAAAGCCCGTCAGGAGGAATGAAGGCGGTCTTTTCCCGGTCCCGCTCATCGACCTCAATTTGCCAATAACCACTGCGTAGATACTTGGATGTAAAATATCGGGTGTTTCTAAGGCGGTCAAGTGAGTCGTCGATGTGAGGGAGCTAATAAACGTCTTTCTTTGTCACGGTGTTCAGTTTGCGATAACACAGAAACACAATGTGCCGTCTTTCTTTTTCACCAACACAATCGGTGACGCCCATGGGCTTGTAGATGTCTGAAAAATGTCGTCAGCAAGCATTTGTTGTATTTGGTCGTGGATGGCGGTCTTGTTCTATGTGGGAAACTCCATAAGTGTGTTGTAGAATAGGCATTTTGCTGGGCTCTGTTATGATTATGTGCTTTGCGATGGGTGTCTGTTTGATTTTGGACATCGTGGCAAAGCAATCACTGAAGGAAAGCAGGAAGGAGCGAAGACTCTTGCTGTGAAGTCAACAGTGCGCACTTCACATCAAGCTTGACCGAAGACCGTTTGTCATCGCGAGGACAGGAAGAGAGTTGCGCGAGTGATAAGCTGGCTTTCGTGTCTCCGATTTCTTCGTAGTAAGCGATGAGAACTGCCTCATGAAGTTCTGGTATTCATGACTATAATTTGTTAGTAGAATTTTCGCAGGCTCTTGTGTCAATTCTATGAGGCCATGGGTGACGCATACTTGACGAGACAAGAGCATGGACACATTGCCTTCCACAACTCCGAGAGCCGTTCGATTGATGTCACACAGCACGTTAACCGGAACACTGGAGAGGGGAGGTACTGTCACTGAATGGTCGGATACACGCAACGCCATCATACGTGATTCACAATCCTGGGAATGTTCATTACGTGAAAAGGTCACCAGCAATTCTCGGAGATTTATAATAGCCCCATATTCTCAAAGGAAGTCTAATCCCATGATGACCTGCCTGGAGCATTCCTGCAGTACGACGAAAGTCCCAATGAAGGTCGAAGTGCCAATATGTATTCGGGCAGTGCACCGCCCAACCGTCGTCACTAGATGACTACCCGCGTTACGGAGCTGCGGACCGTTCCATGGCGTCACCACTTTTCGGAGAGCCGCCGCGAAGTCACCACTCATAACGGAGTAATCGGCACCAGTATCCCCGAGTGCGGTGGTCGAGTAATTGTCGACAGTTATAGAAATATCGGTGAAAATTGCTGCGTCACGTTCAAAAAATTTCGTGACATAAATGTCGGCGTCGTCAACTTGTCGTGGCGGAGGATGTTTGTCAGTTCGGTCAACAGCGGCCCTACCACCAGAGGCCAATGGCCTCAGTTATCCTGGCATGGGCCAGGACTTGGGGACCTGTTTCGTACACCAGAATACGTGGCGTAACGGACTAGGCGAGCCGAGGCGCCAAGGAGAAGTGAGCGTGGCCGGTGGCTTTGTGCAGGAGGAAACGGCTGCTACGCTGCTAGGTATTGCTGAGTCTCGCGAGGACGCTCCCCATTGCTGGGTCGACGCAAGTTAGGGTGAAACCCCTGAAGGCCCATCCTGCGATACGCACGCTGGCGATACAGATGGCCCGCTTCGCTGCAGTGGTAGCAAAGAGGCCTGTTGTCAAAGGTGCGCCATACGTCATATTTACGAGTGACTTCACGCAGAACGTCTTACTGGAAAGTCCTCTCGTAGTTATTTGCAGGTGCGAATTGACGGGGCGATGGTGAAAAAGTAGAGGGTGGCCGGCGTCCGGTAGAAGGTTGAGGACTCTTCAATGCTTCGGCGTAAGACAGAGCAGGAGCTTCCGCACGCATTGGGAGCAATGGTTAGGTCACATTCCTGAGTTCACCGCAAATAATGGCTACCAGAATCGTCGCACTTGGGTGAGCAGAAGTGAGACGGACTTTTTCGAGCTCCTCCCAGACCACGTTTCGCACAAGCTCGCGGAGTGCCGATAAGTCCTGTCCACAGGTGAAAGGCTGACACCGTGGCAACAGAAGCTTGGCAGTCGTACTGTAGAGAGCGTTGCTGAAGTGCCCGTTCCATGATAGTAGCTTCCGCGATGAACTCATCGACAGTGGTTGGGGGCTTGCGTATAAGTTTAGCAAAAAGTTGCTCCTTGACACCCCGCAGGAGGAGTCGAACTTTTCTTGTTTCATCCATCCCTGGGTCAGCGCGCTTAAACAAGCGTGACATGTCTTCGACAAACATAGCCACGTTTTCATTTGGCTTCTGAACCCGGCTCTGCAGAGCCTGCTCGGCCTTTTCTTTCCTTTCGGGATTTCTGAATGCCTGGCATAGCTGTCGCTGAAATTCTTGCCAGTTGGCGATACACGGCTCATGGTTCTCATACCAGATGCGAGCATAGTCTTCAAGTGCGAAATAGACGTAGCGAAGCTTCTTGGTGCTGTTCCATTCATTAGTGGCTGCGACCCGATCGAAGTGGTCTAGCCAGTCATCTACATCCTCAAATACATCACCATGAAACGGCTTCGAGGTGCGTGCTGTGTAGACGATGCTTGGGGTGGATGCGAGTTGGTCTACGTTGCTCTCTTGCCGTTGTGGTGGTCATTCTTGCCGAGCTCAAGGGACCAAATTCAGGAGGTAGTCCTAACAAACGGCGGCTGAGGCGAAGTGCCAGGTTTTCCTCCGGAATTGTTGAGATGGTGGCAGAAGCTTGAAGCGGCTTGAGTTAAAACTAGCGAATTGGGATTGTACCCAGCACTTCCACGAGTTTGTCATGGTAATAAAATCAGTGCAATTAACATGTAGCAAACAGCGGAACCGCTTCGATCGAGCAGCGCGAGTTCGTCGTCGTCTTTCTGCCGACCAAATCCTTTCACACGCACAAGTAATGATGACACTAGCCACGCAACAGCCAGACACCCACTTCATGCTCGTGTCAATACATATATATATATATTGCTTTGCCTGGTAAGAACTATCAATAAATTTGAATGCCACTTCTAATGATGTATACTTTCGCAGCCTCTTCAATAAAGTTATGACGAGAGCGTCACCATGTTTGTAGAAACCACTTTTATCCAGCGTTTGAAGCGGAATTAGTTTTTGGCACACTACCGTGTACCAGGTAACATGGAAAATATTCCAACTGTGTTTCTTTCATACGCTTTCAGCATATAAAAATATGAACGTCTATTGTCAAGTGTCCTAAAAATTAGTTGTCAAGCATTTTGGCTCAGAAAACCTGAAGGTGCTGAGTAAACGTCACAAAAATCAAAACACTTTAGTTTAGCACATCTTCATAAATACAATGACTCTGTCACGCCTTCAGCGCCATATAATTCAGCTACATGCACTGTAGATTTTTCTTTCAGCCTCAAAGCAAGAACCTGGTTCTGGAAAAAAAAATGCCAGGTGCTGGGCATGCACAAAAAAATTCAATTGGCTTTTTAACTATATAGCACCTACGTACTCTCCTAAATACGCGATATGTCATCACTGCGATAAATGAGATTAAAAAACAACTATTAGAACAACTAAGAGGGTCACTGCTGTGACAACCACCAGCTAATTTGCTGCGGCTGCTATGCCAAGGGAGCCGCCGCCACTTCTCTTGGTCCTGCCCAGTTGTGCTGCATCGGCCTCAACTGCAACTACTGACGTGCGCTCTTCCATTGAAAGCCGCTCGACGCGGCGGGCCATACCGTGCGCTTTTTCATCCGGCGGCTGTGCCGCTACATAGGCGCTTCGAACTTACTTTATTGGGGCAGCCCTTCGACGTCACAGTTGGGGTGAATGAAATGTGGTCAGGTGGCCCCGCGAAAATAGAGCTGAGGGTACACTTTGCTTCCCTAGTATTTTGTACAGCTCCTATAAGCACGGTACATATAAGAAGGAGAGATGACACAGACATAAAGGAATTTGGGCACTAATCAGCTGACACATATAATAAAAGCAGCCGCACCTATAGCAAATATGGGAAACTTGTGTGTGAGTTGGCCATCAATTGCTTTGATGAAAAAAGAAATGATGTATCTTGGAATGAGATCACATGCAAGATGAACTGTGTTCTTTTGTGCATGCGTAAGATGGGTGCAGATGACACGAAATAATGAGTCGGGAGTTTAGTGCCTACCTAAGTCTTTGTCGTGTTTCCTTCTTGTATGTACCACACTAATACAAGCTAAGTTGATGGGTGATCAATTCGCCTGAGCTACATTTGTATTTTGAATTCTTCAAATCAAGTAACTTAGGACTACATGCCGCTCTTGCTGCATTAGTCTGTCTGTACTTGGATCTCCACAACCCACGAGTAGAAAATGGGGGGTTGAATAGTGTCGGAGGGCCTCTTTAATAAGCTCATTTTGCACACATTCCATTGGTAATCTCGGTGTCGGCAACACGGGTTGTAGGTGAAAAGTCACGACGGCTAAAAATAAACAAATAGCAGAAACAAACACACTGCATACATGAAAAGTTTCACGTGCTCATCCCATGGTATCCAAAGTCAAAACCATTTTAACCAATTTTATGATCGTGTAAAGCATTACTTCCCGGTATCATCATTAACAATAAAATAAAAAAACTGCAGCATAGTTCGCATTAACCGAGTTTCTATCTGTGCAGGCTTCCTTCAACAGCCTGGTGGAAATTTCAAGAACACCTCCATGAGCCAATTACTGCAATAGTAAGCACATCTGCAAACAACGAAACGTTTTGAAACACCTGCACAGTTATGAGCTGTAGATTTAGTTGACCAGTTCCTATAAAAAGGGTGCTCTTCACAGCACTGTAGGCAATTTTTTCCAAACAATAATTTCATTTCTTGCTGCAGCGAACTGAACTTTGTGCTCTCTGAACAACAGTAACCTCTATGCATGTGTTGCACGACGTTTCTGAATGGCTGTTAGGTGAAAGTAGTGTTTACTGGCATCAGCATTTTTTTTTTTCCAGGCTCTGCTTGTTATGCGAGCACACATTATCATCTTCGTAAAGGTAGGCTCACCAGGGGGGGCAAAATAGGCCTGCCAAAGCTCTTGATGCAAGACACGTAGGGGCGTGGCTTAGCCCCCTCTGCCATGACAGCTGTCAACCACCTGCAGGCAAAACATTGCATTCATCCATCTTTCCTTGGCTGAGCCTTTCAACATTGAAACTTTCTATCCAGTGCAAGGCTTCACTTCCAAGCTTTAACATTGTGACCCAAGAAAGACCATTGCCAAGGTGTTTTGCAACATGCCCTAACATTGGTGCATCAAGACATGGACTAAGCCGACACATAAAACAAAGTGGCGTCTTTCAATTGAACTGTGAGGAAAACAAGACGAAAAAAAAAAAAAGAAAATGTCATCACTAGAGAACAGATTATAGGCAAATGCCTATTTTGTCCCTTGCATTCCTATCAAGCCATTTCGATATATGAGCATGAATTAGAGGTTAAGAAGGGCTTTTATAGCGTTTATACTTGTGTGCAAGTATCCACAGTGCGAATGCAAAACTGAAGTATAGTACGTTAAAATGAATTTCACAATGTTTTTGTCGATAAAATTATGGGAGGCGCAATCTTTGTCCCTACTTTAAACCATATAATCTAAAGCATTGCCTCCGAAATGCGGCGCACAGCAATTCATCTGTAGAGCAGACGACGGCTGACAACTTGCCCTAAATCGTGTTCTTCAGCCTAATGCGGCAGTCTTCGTGCCCCAAATGATAAAAATTTGTTACGAATCGTTTATGACCTCATTCAACATTCAATTCTCTTACCCAACTTGTTGCAAACATATGGCAGTCACAGCAGCTCCATCTGTGTGTCAGTAATGGAGAGGCACTACATATTAGAAGTCTCAGTGCTCTACGTATAAGAGTGAATTCAGATACTGTAGAATACCCTGTTCAAAATAGTTACTCCTATCTGCTAAAGCAGCCCTTCTTCACCAAATGCGGTCCCGTTTACTCGCGTTTGAAGCTTATTGCCGCTTTTCCGTTCCGATTTCTAGATTTCTCAACTTATCAGCGCATTCTCAAAAAGCACTGATTTGTACCACGAATATTGTCGCTAAAAACAAAATAATGCAACATGTTTTTCTATATTACTGTATGATGGCCTTCGGTTGTCTATTTATGAGATTTTAAGAAAAATCAAAGATGGGTTTTTTTTTATTATTCAAATTTCAGTGGAGTACCCTTTTGCTAATATGAGAACTTTGAGACAATATATAAAAATTTACATTTGCCCTACGGCAGCAATAATTTAATGTACCTAATGAACACACTATATCCTTAAAACGTGTCAAGTTAGAAAACGCTGCTTGCATTACTTTCGGAGAAAAAAAATAGGGAATACGTAACTTATTTTAAACTGTCGCAAAATTAGACATTTTTAAAAGCTATTTCCTTAAGGTCTACAAACTTGAAACCGTATGAATTCATTCTTCATTAGACATGCATTTCAGGTAAAAAAATATCTTCCTTGAAACAAAAATATTTGTCTTTTTATAGCATCTGCAATTTTCGATAATGACAGGTGACGAAATTGGTGCCTCCGTGATGGTGAAGTTTGATATTTTTTTTTTCTTAAGTTATGCCGTTAATCATAAAACAATGTTGACTTTCTGGCTACCTGGTGAGAGGTGCACGAAATATAAAATACTCAATGAAATCTAAAATATCAACTTTTGGACCCGTGTCGATCTCGTGTAATCACCCTGATGCATTTAGCATACATTCACCCTATGCCTGAATACACTTGTGCCATATGAGGTCGCTTGGCATATATTTTGGTATAAGTGACAAATATAAATAAATACAGAACAGGGCTGCAAGGTTTGTCGTAAGCCATTAGTCATAAAATGACATCTGTACCAATATGAAAAATGAACTAGGATGGGTAAAGCTATCATCCCGTTGAATTAAACTGCAGTTAAAGTTCCTATGTGTAGCATTTCATAGTAAAACTCACATTCTATAATAATTGTACCTAAATAGTCTTCTTCATCCAATCGTAATCAGGTCTAATTTTTATACTAATCGTTTTTTGGTAGTTTTACAACTGAATGAAATGGCTTCTAATGAGAACAAGTGTGCTGTATGAATGAAGGCATGTCTATGACATTGTAACCTATCTGCTACAGTGCCTTCGGGTAAAAGATGCGATGTGCAGGCGACTTTTGTTTTGTTTGTAATTTCCTTCTTTAGGCACTTTTTTCTATGCGACATTAGAAGTTGTAGTTAGGCATTAGAAGTTCTTGCATGCCCAATGAAAAGCGTTCTACCACGGTAATTTTTTTAAACTGGTTCACTACAAGCCACAAAACCATGATGCAAAGAGGCACACTTGAATCCCTTGCCACCCCCCACCCCCCCCATAGCCATCATGAGCCAACTTCTCTGCTCTCTTTGGTATTGGCGCTGGAGGGTCACATGATGCATACACACCAAGAACATCATGCGTAAACAAGCTCACGCACACATGACGTGCCGCAGTCTACTCGTGCACGTAGCCATTGATGTGTTGTTTCAGCATTCTCCGTTTTTTATTACTCGTCTCTGAGGGATTGATCAGTCATTGCACGTACTTTTGGAGAGACTGCTATGGATCATGCATCATGACCGTGATACACGACATCGCTCCGCTGAAACTGGGGTCAGAGACAACGCACTAAACACAAGCTGAGCGTTGTCAGGGTTGGCGAAGGCACGATGCAGGATTGACGAGAAAACGAACGCAAGTGAAATGAGGTAATAGTAGTAGTAGTAGTATGGGTGGTTTTACGTGAAAAAACAACAACAAGAATATGAGGGATGTCGTAGTAGAGGTCTCTGGAAATTTTGGCCATTTGGTGTTTTTCAACGTGCATCGACACCGTGCAGTACGCAGGCATCTACTTTTTCATCTCCATCTTTATACGACCGCAGAGGCCGTAATCAAATCCGCGTCATTCGGGTCAGCAGCGGAGACTAGCTATTAGCCCACCGCGGCGGACCCGAAACGAGGGGCAGATTACTCTATAACACCTCGCAGCCATTGAAAACAAAAATAATATTAACAAGCTCACATCCTGTTTGTGTGACTTATTATTTTTCTCAGCTTTCATTCATTATAATCATTTTTTTAAAAGGCAGAGCAAAGAGTGGGGGAAAAGAAAGACTTAGAGACAAGGAGCACTGTCTTCTTTTCCCCCACTCTTTGCGCTTCCCTTTCAAAATATGAAGCAGCTAGCCCAAACCAAAGTACTCCTTATTCATGCTATACAACAAAACACACAAATTACATGCACCAACTAGAGTAATTCACGTGCGACGCTCTTAATGAGGCACTGTTCAAAATGCAGAATTTAATCAGGAAACGGGACATTTTTCGTCTCTCTTTTTAGGTATAGCCAGCATTTAACTAAGAAATGATGAATAGTGTACGTTGAGCGACATCAGAACACCAATGTCAACGTAAATAAGCGATGTAAAAGCAGGACCATTCCTTTCTGTAACGTCACTCCCTCCATCTTGGGGCGCACACCCGCTAGAAGTGCAAGTGGCATTCAATAGACATTTAGCATTCTTCTGCGACACCAAGTATTCCAAATCTTAAGAAGCATGGTTTTTGGTGCCCAGAGCATTCATTACGCCTGTCAGCTCGAAATGCCCAAACCTAGTGAGGGGCCCTCAAAGGTGTTCACCGAGAGGGGAAAAATTACGCGATTAGAACTGGCATTCCTCCCTTCTGGGGTATGAGTGGTCTGGTTATTTGCTCTTGCACTGCCCTTCCCAGCCACAACGATAGGAAAGAGACCCAGGGGAGTGGTGGTTTGAGGGCAGGACACTTGACTCAAAACGCTGCACAATAAAACGAAAGACCGTAATCTGCAAATCGTGTGTGAACTGTATGCCCATGTTCAACCATTGGTGCCTTTTTGCTACCTTAAACAATGTCATTTTTTTTGCTTGTTGTCGTAGATACAAGTCAACGATGCCTTTGTTTTAAATTATTTTACTTTTTGTAGAAATTTATTGTGCTTATATTTATGATTTTGAAGGCCTAAAACAGTGTTTTACCTGCCTGTCTTTGGTGCCTAAAACACACATTTTTAGTGCCTAAAAATTCAGCCTAGTACAGGCAAATGTCATACGAAGCAAATGCAGATTTAAATATAAAGCAATACTACATAATCCTCAACATATGATGAAAACATTGACGAAGCCGCATACTGACCAAGTGTGTAAACTATGACATATACATTGAAGCAAACATGAAAAAAAAAATCTGAAATGAACAGAAATAGACACATGCTGCATGAAACGGCACACTGATGGGCTAGGTGGCACATAAATAAAGTGCAGAGACAGTGATAAAGCAAGGCTGCGCTATATCCCATGTGGTTTGTTTGTCGGGCTACTACCTGAAATATGTTATGCAATATCAGTAACATAACATAAATGAGATAATGAAAGTAGCAGAAGAGAACTGTGCAGGCATCATCACATACGCAAAAACAAAAAGAAAGAAGGGGGGAGGGAAACACTGGATGATCAGGCACAATTACCAAAATAAAAGAATGACCAGAAAGCGAGCGACCAGACGTCTATTTTTTCAACGTTAGTCAGATCCAGTTGTTCACCACCCTCTCCTCAAGCTCTTTGCTGCTCTTGCCCATCGCCTCACCTTCGCGTGTACTTTACCTTCATGGGAATAGTACCCTTTAGGTGGTGCCTCATGACGGAAATCAGGTGAAGTAATTTTTTTGTTCTGTTGTGTACAGATCCACGAGGCGGCGTCTTGCAACCATAGTGTTCACTATGTTGGCGGTCGCGCTGGTTTTGTAAGGTACACAATTTCGCTCTGCGTGACGGGCCAGCTGATGCACGATCGTAAGCAAATTTCCTGTCCAGCCTTGAACGTTACCTGACAGTTCATATTGTAGTGCAAATAAAAACTATAATTACGTTATTGTTATTATTATTATCATTTAAAAGCCGCTCTTCTAGCTTTCGCTGTGACTGTGCTGTGCCTTTCGCACGGGCCTGACATTTTATTATTCTTCTTCTACTTATTATTATTATTATTATTATTATTATTATTATTATTATTATTATTATTATTATT